TTGTTTACAGTCTGACATGATGCATACTGTTTTCTGCATTGTCAGATGGAAATACAGTATGTGTATTTTCTAGTTCAATTTTAGTTTGTATGTGTGACATTTTTGTAGTGTTCTTCCTGAACTGTCCTAGAAAATATAATAGAATAAGAGAATTTAGTATTAGGTCTAATAAATTAGATTTCGCCTCCCTTAGATCCGACTGTTGGCCACCGCTGCTCAGATGCTGCAGGAGGAAAAACAACAGAAGCTGAAAGAAAGAGAAGCTACATTAGACGAAAAAGTTCCTCCTCTTAATCTGTCTGGTCTGTCGTTGCAAGAGCTGCAGGTATATTTCCTCTGACTAATCGCACTTCTTTTGATTTTTATGAGTCCAAAATTACAACACAAGAGTCTCTTACTTTCATACAGGACCTGTGCAAAGATTTGCACCACAGGATAGATGTTGTGGATGAGGAGCGGTATGATCTTGATCTCAAAGTTTCTAAAAACGAGAAGGAGGTAAGCGGAGAAAAAAAGAGATGTATATTGATTTTTTTAAGCTACAGGTTTCAACATACTCATGGCAAAATCAAACAGATCATGAAAATAGCAATAAATACTGCCCTCATGTGGCTAATTACGACTGTCACAATAATATCACAGGTGAATTTTAAGTCAAAACTGATTGAGTCTGGCCAATCTGAGGCAATTAATATGATAAAAGGGAAAATGAAAATAATGTTTTGCTCTTGAGTTTGAGTCAGTGGTCTGTGGTCATTCAGTGTCACAGACTTCCTTATAGTATAGTAAAAGGGAATACTATCCTTGTGCGGTATTTTGTTTTTCTTTTAAGGGTTGTGCCTCCTCATGATGTTCTTTCATGATCCTTGCTCTGGGCAGGGGTCTATGGCTTCATGATCCAGGGCACCTGTTCTCCTATGTTTGTTTTATTCTGTCTTCTTCTGAATGGGTGTTCTGAACTGTAATTTCATTGTGCTCTGTACAGTGACAATAAAGGTTTATCTTATCTTATCTTATCTTATCTTATCTTATCCTAATTTTAATAATAGTAAGGGAGTCTGTTACTTCGAATATTTATTACTCCGATCTTTTCACCTATGAGTGCATCTATAGCTGTCAATTAAACCTTTTCTTTTCATTGAGTCAGAATCTAATAAAAGCATCAAAGCCTGTGCTTCATTTTCACTGTTGGGCTCGAGTATGATCCAGTCCAGCATTCAATAAACCTTACATCAGTATGACGAGCTTCTATCAGGATTTTTTTTAATCAAACTAAAACAGAGTGGCTTTTAAAGTTTTTAACATGTTAGTCAGCTTCACAAGGTTTAAGTCAAAATACAACTCTTTGCTAAATTATGATTGTTTGGAGAGAAATAATACATGTAATAAAACCAAGGCTCAGTGATGTTTATGTTTCACTGAAGGATTTGATGATAAATTAGATTAACATTTAAAAGGAAAATGGAATCCAGCTTAAAATACTTCATTTCAAAGTGTGATTGTTAAGCATCCTGACCATCTTTTCATCTAATTACATACTGAAATGCAAATATGTGACCCATCACATCAAAACGAGGATTAAGTCCAAAAATGGTTAATGGAGGAAAAGGCAAATATAGTGTTTTGACTAAAATGTTAACAAAAATAGCATTCTGTTAAAATATAATGAATAAATGCCTTATCAATGTATCATTTGAATGAAGTGTCTGAAATATAATCCTAAAAAAACATTTTTGAAGCATTTTTTGAGCAGTAGCAACAAAAAACCTGATTTTGAGGGAAAACGACATGAAATTTTGAATTTTTTTCATGTGAGTTAGCAATGTTTTTGTTTC